AAGTAAAAAATAATAAATAAAGAAAAATAAAAAAATCTCCAAGTTCAAATGCAATGAAGTTTCAGTCTTAATAATTTGGTGTTCATCCCTCAGCCTCCAATCCTGGAGATGGTGCCTCAGATGTTGTTCTGTATTTGTCTCATCACAGGGGAAAAATAAAGTAGAACAAAACTGCACAAAACAAAACAAAAACAAACAAAACCCCACAAAGTGTCCCAAGTTCAAATGCAATTACAGTTTCAGTAAGTTTTGTAGCATGCAGGTGTAGTTCTGTTTGTTGTCTCATCAATGGTAGGGAGAGAGAAAAAAAAGAGTCTGGGACAGTTCTGTGAATGGTATCTCCAGCTGTGGCTTGTCTCCCCGCTGCTGTCAGCCTGCTGTTGCTGGCTGCGTATTTATGCAGATCTCTGGGGTGAGCTTACTCACCTGGCCCTGCAGGCTTTGTTTACTCAGAGTTCTCCTGTGCCATGCCACTGCTACAAGCTTTCCCCTTTCAAAGCACACTGGGGAGGTGACACTGCACCCGCTTTCCAGGCCTGCGTGTTTATTTACAGTTCACTTGGGAGGTGGTCTTCCCCCTCTCCGTGGATTTTTCCTCCCACTGCAGCTTTTACAAGCTTTTCCACTCCTGATTGCTGGCATGTACTGCTGCTCCTGCCAGCCAGGCATGTTTGTTTACAGCTCATGTGGGAAGTGGGTCTTTCCCGCTCCTGTGAGTTTCCTCCCTCTGCCACTGTCACAAACTTTCCCACTCCTGGTTCTGGGCACGTGCTGCCGCTCCCGCCCTCTGCGGCCAGGCCCGGCTTCTTTATTTACAGTTCTGTGAGGGATTCCCCTCCCCCGCTCTTTGACGCTCAGGGCGCCACGCCCTCTTTGCAACATGTCTTTATTGTTCTTATTGCTTATTACTAAGTTTCTCTTTTTTCCCTGGGTGGGGTACGGTCTGTCCAGGGGGTTATGCTGATTTGGCCCATGGTTGTCAGTGGGAGTACCACGTACCACTTAGCTCACCTTGTCTGCGTCTTTCCAAGCCGTCTGGGCGCAGGCGTCTGGCGGCTGGGGCCCTCCTGTTTCTCCATTTCAACGTGAAGTGGAGATGTTCTGCTCAGCTGGAGGTGTGGAGAGGGTCAAAGTTTTGCCTGGTCTCGGTGCCTTGTCTGCAAGGTGTCTTTCCTGAGTCTCTCCAAGATTTCCCTTTAGGAGGCAAGCTTTCTGCTTCCTCCCGCTAGCCGCCATCTTGGAATCCCTGAACCGTTCTTTAATTTAGTGGCTGACTTTTAGAGTTTAAAATCCTGGATCTATACTTAGTGTGTGATCTTAGAAAATTGACACTCATTTCTATAAAACATTTTTTGAGATAGTCTTATATTTTAGACTAGGCTGACCTTGAACTCACAGTCCTCTTGCCTCACTCTCCCAAGTGCTGGGATTATAGGTGTGCACCACCATACCCAGCTCATTCTATATATTTTAAGTTCTTTGTGTATAAAGTAACAGTGAAGTTTTAAGTAAAAGGTGATTCAGAAGAAGGAAGACTGAATAACTTAAAATTCACATTGTGTTGGCTAGAAAGTCTCTGCTGATCTTTAAATCAATGTTGTTTGTATTACCCCACTTTTAAACTGACCAAAAGCTGGCCCATGGAGGCCCTTATAATTTAATGATACCTCTATATTCTTAAATAAAAGGATGTCTTAGTTTAAAAAATTGGTATTTGGGCTGGCAGAATGGCTCAGGTGGTAGAGTCCTACATAGCAAGTGTGAAGCCCTGAGTTCAAACTCCAGTGCTGCCTCCCCCCACAAAAGAGTTAAAAAGTAGATGTTTGAACATATCTAACTAAGGTTGCTTCCTTTACTATTCTCTAGGAAATCATAAAAACATTTTGTAGGTAAATAAAGAACTTCGTAGAATAACAAACTAGTTATTATTACTAGTAATAATAATTATTAATAACAGTAGTTACTCATTAACTATTAAAGGACTATTGGCTTCCTAAGTGAGCTCTGAAAGCTACACATTTTGTATGATTTGTAAATACATATATATGTATATATGTATACATACATATATCTTCTATTTCTGTCAGAGCAAATATTTTAATTCTGACAACTCTCTCTACAGCGTATCCGTCCCTTGCCCCATTGACTACATACTTTTTCTTATAGTTGGCTACTTCTAATATAAAAGTATGTATAAAATAAAAATTGAAACAAAACATTCTGTGGCATTTATAAGAGATATTTTGGCTATATAGAGATTTTTAAATTTTTAAAAACATTTCTAAGCTGGGTGCAGTGGTTCATACCTGTAATCCTAGCTACTGTGGAGGCAGAGATCAGGAGGATCACAGTTCAAAGTCAGCCCCAGCAAATGGTTCATGAGACGCTGTCTCAAAAATACCCAACATGAAAAAAGGGCTGGTGGAGTGGCTCAAATGGTTAAGCACCTGCCTAGCAACCATTAGGCCTTGAGTTCAAACCCAGTACCATAAAAAATAAACATTCTAAGTTTCTATTTGGCCAGGCACTGGTGGCTTATGCCTGTATTCCTAACTGCTTGGGAGGCGAGATCGGAGAGGATCATGGTTCAAGGACAGACTGGCCAAATAGGTCTTGAACCTCATCTTCAAAATAACCAGAGCAAAATGACTGGAGGTGTGGCTCAAGTGGTAGAGTGCTTGATTTGTAAGAGTGTGAGGCCCTGAGTTCAAACCCCAGTCTTCCCTCCAAGAAAAAAACAAGTTCCTGTTTGTTTTTCTAGCTCACTTGACTCTATGTTTGGATTTAAGATAATTGAAGAAAAGAGATTCTTACTGTAATGTGAGATAATTGTGTAAACTGGTGTAGTTGAGTCCTCTGGGGAAAGAGTAAACCACAGAAAATTTAAGATAGTTCACCAAATAAGCACTTACTATGTCCATTGTACCAGCACTATTGGGTAAAAATGTCACTAGACTGGACATCGGAAGACTTGGGGGTGATCCTAGCCTGCTGCTAAATACATATGTAACAGTGGGCTAGTCACATTCATATTCTGAAAAATGTGATTCATAGTACAGGTTATGAGATTTCATTATTGCTGTAAAAGCAAGTAGATAGGGGGAATGTTTGACAGTGAAAATAACAGAAATTAACAGAAAGTTGATTGAATGTTCAGTGGCATTTCCAAAGAACACCATGAAAGGATTTGGGAAGGAGAGCAGGAATAGGGAACTGATTTAGGATAAAGGATGAGAGTGTTATGAAGATTAGAGAACTAGAGACAGGATCTACATTTTGAGCATGGACTGGAAAAAAAAAACAACTGGAGACACGTTGGTTTTAGTCCTAGTAAGAGTTTGTGAGAGTTCATTTCTGCCTAGCAATTGTGATATGGGTAGACAAAGTAAGCAGCAGGGTAGTGGGTCTTTTTTATCTTGTTCCTCAAGTTTTGGCAGGTAGGTAGCAGCTAGTGGGTGAGAATCCAAATGTAGACTAGGAAAACCAAGTTTGTTTAATTATAACCGAAGGTTTTTTTTTTTAATATCAAAAAATGGTCTTATTTCTTTTTTCTAATTTGAGAATTATGGTCACAGTTACTCTAGAATTATCAGTTGTGTGGTAATGAACTATGTCAGTTCTTGTTTCCTGTCCTGATTATACTTACTTCCTATTGCTTTTTGGTTTCTTAAGTAGCTAAGTAAAGTAAAACCAAAATATTTAGTTTATATTTTAGCCAACGAAATTTTTTGTGTTTATCATTCATCCCTTCTAGTCTTGTATGATATTTTCAGTAACTGAATGTGAAAAGTTACATTATCAACAGGAGTGCACACTAGATATCTAGTCCTAATCATCACTTCTGATTTGGAGATAGAAATCAAGAGTTCTTTGCATAGTACATTTGGTACAACTCTACATCCAAAAGGCACATAGATTGTATTTATAACCAAGATGAAGAGGGTACATTTTATAGATCTTAGATTTAGGTGAGATGTCAGCTTATACTTGAAAGATATGATGTATGAGGTATGATGACTTGCATGGCAAGGAAATAGCACATGCCATGGCAACCTTACCTCTAACTGTTTTTCTGAACATGTAAGACTCCATGTCTCTTAAATTTAATAGCTCAACATTTCTTCAGAGTCCCTGGGCGAAGCCTGGACATCAAACTTCAGCTCCAATATAGCTTCTCCAGAAGGTATTTAATTTGTTTGTCCCTAATGAAATATTGCTCTTGTTTTCAGGAAAGAATAAAAAAAGAAAGTCTGGCAGATAGTCCCTAATTGCCACCTGTTGAACAAATAATACTTGTAAGCAAGCACTAAAACAAGCAACAAAACACTAAGAACAGTAGTGCAAATGATGATGATACTCATCAAGAACTCAGTCTTACTTTGTTCTATCTGCTACTGGCAGTTTAGCTGCATCACACCAGTTGTCTAGAATAGGATTAGGAATTTCAATTAATAATTTTAGACTTCTGCATCATTTTTTAGTCTTTAACAAGGAATTTGACTTTCGCAGCCTTAGACACAGGTAAATAATACAGAAAATGGATAGAAGAAAGCTAAGGCATTGTTAAAGACAATAGTTTTATGTGAAAATAATTAAATGGCTCCTAAGATTTTTTATAAGCATCTGAGAGAAGGTAAATACCTTTTTAAAACTGTGGCTTTGGGAGGCAGAGTTCAGGAGGATTGTGATTTGAGGCCAGCCCAGACAAATAAATTCACTAGACCTTATCTCGAAAATTCCCAACACAAAAAAGAGCTGGGGTGTGGCTTAAGTGGTAGAGTGCCTGCCTAGCAAGTATGAGTCCCTGAGTTCAAACCCCAGTACAGCCAAAACAAAAGATAAAAAATAAAAATATCATGGTTTAATTGGTATCATATGTGAAGATGAAAGAATTTAAATAATTATATTGAAAATGTATAGAAAGAAGTATTAGAAAAATACTTAAGAAAATAGTGATAGATGTGACTGTTGATTGTTCACGCTCTTTTTTTCTATTTCAGGGTTTGAACATAATCTTTCATGTAGCCTTGGCGCTGCTAAAGGTAAGTCTCCTTCTATCTTATCAACTATCTTACCTCTTTGCGCTTAGAACTGGAATAACTTAATATGCAGATTTTGAATTCATTCTAGGTTCTTTACTATAGAAAAAGATGACTTCTTTGAGAAATGTTGATCTTCTCCCTCCCTTTCATCCTTTTTTATAGTTTATTTGACAGTTGTTTTTCTTAAAACCCTTTACTCTTGTTATTATAGCACTTTTTTTCCTATAACATAAAAGATGCTTTCATTCAATGAGTTGAATGATATAAGAGAAAAAGTTGAAACCTGTTTTTCTGTCAAATGAAGCCAGCTTTTTTCTTAAAATACTTCTTATCATAATAACATCCCTGGGTACCTAAACATACAATTGGATTATTTAAAAGCTTCTATAATATACCAACTAAAAAATAATCTGCTACATTTCAATTTGCAGTTCTTTCCCTGATAGATGGAAAAATTTAGACACTTTAGAATTCTATTATAATTACCCTGTTGGATTTTATAACAACATATCAAAATAGTGTGGTAACTTTAACAGTGTAGTAAACAGCAAGGCATTTGCTACAGACTCGGTGAAAATAACCCAGTCAAAAAGACATTCTGTTATTGAAGGTGATAATTGCCTTATTTATAAAAATGACACAGGTTTATGCTTCCCTAATATAACACAGTGGTTAAATTACAATAGTTGAATAAGTAATACATAAAAATTCTTACATAGTGTGTAGAAATTTTACACACTAAAATTTTCTGATAAATGTTAGCTTTTATTATACTTAACTATTGTCATTCACAAGGTAACTCACAGTGTGTTCCTAATTGCCCATCACTCTCCTGAATCCTTCAAAAGTTACCTCAGGAGGGCCTCTTAATGTCTTTAGAATGCCTTGACTTAACTATTAACATGCCTTGTTTCTAAAAAAGGCATAAGATAGTAGATTCCTCTGATACTGAAAAAAAAAATTGATTTCTGCTGCTCACCACTGTATAGTTTTTGTATAGTTCATCAATGTACCTTATTCATTAAATCATTTGTGTTTACATATGAGCAATTTTTATGCCAAAGTTATTGTAGAAGTTAAGAAATACTTTAAAATTTTTAAATAAAATAGCACAAACATCTGCTTATATGTTTTAATTGAAGCCATGTATGTACCTTGACATTGAATTTCTTTTGTCATTAAAATGGATCTAAACCAAAAACTTCCATAGTATCCATAGAACTAAATTGAAGTGAACTTCATTGATCTGATTGCCTCCATCTAGCCAAAAGATATATAACAAACATATTTAGCAGTAACTGACTTCCAACTTCTAATCTAGTGCTGCCAGATGAAAGAATGCATATTTGTTCATATAAAATAAACAACTTTTGGCAAGTTTAAACTGCTTCTGAACCTAACTTGCTAATTTGTAGTAGAGCTATGGAGAGACTTCTGCTTTTTCAAGAGTATTGGAAAAATGTGATTCCAAATTGCTGGCAGAGAACCAGGACCCATAGGGGCTTTCTTGATATTAGAAGTTATTTCTTGTTATGAGGGGCTGAGACAAAGAACTAACATTCTTGAGCATTTTCTCCATGCTAAATGCTTGTAGGCACTACCCAGTTAAGATTCGAAGAGGCCGAGACCCAGAATTACCTACAGTCTTTTGCTTCAGTAATGTTAAAACTGAATTTATAGTTTTAAAATATAACACAGATACATAAGTGTTTCTGTTGTTCAGTTTGCTTTGGGTTAGAAATAAGCCACGAAGCAGCTAAAAGCTATTAAGCAAAAAGGATGCTTCACTATAGTATTAACATTATGAAATCACTTAGTGTCCAATAGGCGGGTCACATTCATACCCCTAAGTCTCACTCATTATTAAGAGAAACATTCAATAGTCATATAGCACAGTCCATTTACTACATTGGAGATGATCGTAGCCATTTCATGTTAGGTGAAGAAATTTTTTGATGAGAGTAATTTATTTGCTTTCTGAATGTGTTTCAAGGAAATAACAGAATGTTTTCCTCCTCCTTCCCCAGCTATGATAGGCTCATTTTGTGTTGTATGTGTGTCGTATGTATGTGTATAAACATTACAGAGATAAAGAAAGCCCAATCACAGTCCCATTGCTAGAGATAACCAGAAGAAAACTTAGTATAAAATCTTCCTCGTGTGCTTTAGTTTATGAATATGTAAGCAAGCATCACATATCTATATGCATGTGAATATGTGTATATTTTTTAATGTGGTTTCAGTATTAAAGATAAGACCATTGGTAGGTAGATGTAAAATCCAAAACAGTATAAAAGATGAATATATGCTTTTCTTTTAAGAAATGCTATGTCATTTAGCAGTACCTTCCCATACTATACACATATTGTGGTTAAAATCATATGGATGCTGGAGCAAGAATATTTCAGACCTCAGCTCCAAAAATTTATCCAATGCTTTTAGATAGATTATATAGTTTCTTCATTTTTAAAATGGGCAATATTAATGATACTCATCTCATAGGATTATTGTTAGGGTTTAATCAGTTAATATATTAGAGTAAGAGCTCTGTATACCAGGAGTTATTATTTAGAAATAAGTAATTATGTCTAAAAAGAAATTATTACAATAACTTGTTTCATTGTAAACAAAACTCTTGAGACAGTTTGAAGAGTCAATTATGTTCTTTTGCTTAGGAACATCCAGGTTTTTTTAAGGAAGGCAGTTGATCTTGGGTAAATTTTAGAAGAGTGGGCCTTCTCTTAGCTTGGCGGAGCTTTGTATATTATATCAAAGTTTTGAAGTATATCTTTGATGTTTTGAGCTTCTCAACCCTCACCACTATGTATTTTCCTTAATATTCCATTGCTGCTTTTTGATGAAGTCACTAATAAAATCTGATGGACATCTTTCATTTTTATCTTACTTGATCCCTGAACCATTGTCAAAACAGCATAATAATACTTCATATTTTCTTTTCTTTTTTCTTCCCAGGGTAGCAGCATATTTTCAACTCAGATCACTTTATTTTTAAAAGCCTTTGAAATTAATTGCTGTAGGTCCCAATATTTAACTTATTTTTATTATTAAGGTATAATTTGCATACCATAAAATTTAACCTTATAAGTATATAATTGAATATTTTTATTATACTGACAAACTTGTGAAACCACCACCATTATCTAATTCTAGTACATTCTCATCACCCCAAAAGCACTTCCCATTTCCTGTACTTCGTTATTGCCTGGGAATTATTGATCTATCATCTATGGATTTAACTACTCTGAACATTTCATACAAATGGGATCATATAATAGATGACCTTTTTTTGACTGGTTTCTTTCACTTAGCATGTTTTCAAGATTTTTCTACATTGTATCATGTATCAGTCCTTCATCCCTTTTATTGCTAGATAATATTTTATTATATAGCTATACCATATTTTATTTATCATTCATCAGTTTATGAACCTTTGGATTGGTTCAGGTTTTGACTATTTTGAATAATGGTGCCTCAGGCATTTGTGAACAGGTTTTTGTGTGCATATGTATTTTCATTTCTCTTGGTATACGCCTAGGAGCAGAACTGATGGATTATATGGCAAGTCAGTGTTTAACTTTTTTAGAAACTGCCAATAGTGTTTAAAGGTGCTGTTCATTTGAATTCCCAGCAGCAATGCATGAGTATGGTGTAAGGTCCAAATATTAAGTGTTTTCTTGACACTGGGGAAAACCAGGAAGGCCTGGAGAGGTCTAACAGCAAGGTCCCTCCTCATTTTGCTCCCATGGATAAGGTTCCCTAGTCAAAAAATCCCTGTTTATCAAAAGAGTAAGGCGCATTGTTCTTGCTTAAGTCCTGAGTAGCAAGTTTCAGTTCCCCACCAGCCTGCATCTTTATTCAAATATACCAGTAATATTATTCTATAGAAACCAACTGGGGTACCCTGGTGCAAGTTCAAAGTCTCTTCTGAGACTTAAGGCAAACTAAGCTATCAGCCCTTGTAAAAGATCAAAAAGAAAGTTGCATACTTCCAAGATATGGTGGTAGGACAGACACAGGTAAACATTCCTACTCCAAAAGGTAGGAATAGGAAAACAATGAAGAATCATTCCAAAGCAAAACCAAAATCCAGCAATCCAGCAACCAGGGCACGCTGTAGTTTGACATGAGCTTGGGAAGGCTTTATTCTGTGCCTCAAAAATTCCCTTGGCAGGTGTTGCTAATTGCTGGTATGTCTTCCTTCCTGGGATCTCCATTGCAGCTTTGGCTTTCTCTTAGAGCTTCACACATTGCCCTTTAGGACTGATAGCAGGGACTCCAACATTGTCACACTACATGCCCCTCAAGGTTTCCTTTGAAATCTCAGTGGAAGTTTCCATGACCTCACAAGTCTTGGATTCTGCATGCCTGCAAAACCAACATCACTTGAATGATGCCAGCATGAGTCATAACCTGGGCCACTTGAACATGCAGGTGACTGCATCTGCCTCTGAGTGGCTTCCTACCTGAACATGGAAAGTGTGTGCTTTGGGACATCCAGGGTGCTTGGTCTTTTCTGAAGTCTTTGAAACAAATTTGCATTTCTAAATTTCTAAACCTGTGATGGATGAAGTGGTCTTGCAGATTCCCGAGATGTCCTTGAAGCATCTTTCTATTACTAAGACAAAGCATTGGCTCCCTTTTATGGGAGCTAATGACTATACCTTCCTTTATAGGTACTCTGTTTCTGGATAAGTTGTAAATTTTTCATTCTTTCTCCTGGTCCTTTTTCATCCTGATTCTTACAATAAATTTGGTTTAAAACAGCCAGTAATACCCAGTGCTGCAAACTGAATGCTTCATTGCCTTGAAATCTCCTCCACCAAGTAAACTAGTCCATCATTTTAAAACTTGACTTCTGGCAAAGTATCAGGACCTAGGACAAAATGCAACTCAGTTCTTAGCCATGGTGTAACAAGTAAGGTCTCTGATTCCCACTAGAATCATCATTTTCATCTGAAACTTCATCAACATAACTTTAC